ATCAGATTTCATCTTGGCTACAGCTGCACCTGCCTACTTGTCAACCCCCCAAGCAACGTACCAACACACTCACCCCTGCTACAGTGTGAGCTCCACTGGGGCAGGGACTTTGTTTTGGCCTTTGCTATAATCTTGGCATCTAAAACAGAGCCTGCCATGTATAAAGTGCTCTATAAATATTTATGGGATGATATTCCATGAGTGACATGCGAGTCTCTTTTCAATAAAAGAAGGAGGAGTGCTTAGTGAGCATCCTCTTGGGCTGTCATCAATGGGTACCAGCCATTCATTCAATGTATGGGCTCCTTTCCTTTCTTTCATATCTACCAAGCCTAGAAGTTGCGTGATTGCAGTGCTCTACTAAAATTCTCATTGTTCTCAAGGAAATCTGAATGTTGCATTTAGATGTCTGTGAAGGAATTTTTAAACCTTGAAAATCACATTTGGACGAAGCTCGGGGTTTCAGGAAGTTGTGGGGGAGGGCACCATGGGCATACTGGTCACCTCCCACTTGACCTTTACTCCAGTGGACCTACCTGCTCCCTGCTGCTTTGAAAAGGGAAAGCTGAACAAAACATTAAGAAAAGGAGGATGACTTAAAAACTTTCAGAGTATAAATAGAGCACCTAAAAGAGCTTTGCTGGAGTCATCACATGTGATTTCACAAGAAGGCATTTGCCCTTTTTTAGGGACTGAACAACAATTAGACAAGGTTAAGCAGGCAATGCCAATTATCATCTGCCAACGTGGTTATAAATGACCATAGTTTCACGTGATTCCAAAGCGTGGTGGACAGTGACCAAGGATAAGCGTGGTCTGTGGTGGATATGAGCACTGAGCACCCCCGATGCATTTTTCCATTAGCTCCGGCCTATTCCAAGAAATAGATAATGCCCTGCTCATCCTGGAACATTTTGGTAAGCAGACAGACAGTGGTTGCATTTACTTTAGTCTTTTCAATTTTTAGTGAGATATTTTCCAATGGATATTTGTACCAAAAATTTCTGAAACATAGATGATACAGCTCAAAATTGCTATCATTATTTCTACGCCATCTGGAAAAGAAATTGCCTTCTGGGATCTATAGCTTTTCCTAAATTACATCCTTCTAGAAATTTGTTTTTAATTTGCAAGTGTAAGTAGTGTTCACCAAAAAAGCTGGATTTGGAAAACTCATTTGGTGTGCGGTTTTCTGTCTCACGAGGATGGGTTATGTGATATCTCGATCAAGGAAATGGTTGTGGGCAAGTGAAAGGAGGTCTGGATGCTACGTGTCGAGATTTGGGTGCCAGTCCCGCTGTATCCACATGATTCCCTTTGCTGCATCTCTCCGGGCTTCGATCTCCTCGTGTGAAAAAGCAAGGATAAAAATTGAATATCCATCTGACATCATATAATAAGAATGAAATAACCCGTGTAGAAGTGATTAGGATGATGCCTTGCTCATTACAAGGTACTTGGGGAAATATTTGTTTACCCATTCACCATGATTTGTTCCTATTGTGCTCCTCTTTCCATGATTCTCTAGTTAGCTAGCCCTCGTTTTCCAGAGCTTGGGTTGCAGGGACATAAATTTGTTATTATTTGCCCCCGCACCGCCGCCGCCTTCTATATATTTTCTTCGGAGTGGATTGCTCCTTACAGCTATAAATGATTCTTGAAGCGGGCACTCTTTGGGTTTCTTCTGTACTTCTGGTCAGCCTTGTAGTGTATATGCTTGTCCTGTGCCTCCCATTCTTAAGTTGTTAAGTGCTGAGCCTACTGACTGTTTCTCATCTCAGAGCCCCAGCGTGGCACTCTGTGCCGTGTCTGGTCCACAAGGTGCTCAGTCAAGTCTGTTGAGCTGAATTCCAACAAGTACCATAAAAAGAAGTAGGTGTATTCTTTAGGTCAAGGGAGAAAGCATCACAAGTCTAAAGGTTATGCTGTAACTAACTGTGCTGCTTCCCCAGTAAGACCCTAAATTGGAACCCTGTGTTCTTACTGAGTCTGGCTGGGCCAGGTAGAAGGAGCTTGGGCCTTGGTTAATGCCACAGAAACGTGGTTCTGTTGGAGAGTCCAGACAGGGATGTACTTACCATATCTTGCTGTGTATAATGCACAGGTTTCTGCCCAAATTTTTGAGGGAAAGATAAGGATGTGCACTGTGCATGGATAGTACTAATTCCCATGTGTTATGCACATTTTACATGGGAATTAGTACTAAAACATGGGTGCACATTGTACATGGCAAAATATGGTAATACTCATGCCAGGTGATGGTTCTGCATCTCGGAGCTTCCTCTTCTCTTTTCAGTAGGCAGGAGGGCACAATAGTACATAGAGAAACCTCAAACTAATCAATTCTGTGATAATTCTTGACTCCCTATCACTTTAGGCTCTTAAAGCTCTATTTTCTGCCCTGGCTGGTGTGGCTCAGTGGGTTGAGCGTCGACCTGCAGACCAAAGATTGCTGGTTCGATTCCCAGTCAGCACACATGCCTGGGTTGTGGGCCGGGTCCCCAGCTGGGGGAGTATGAGAGGCATCTGTTGGATGTTTCTCTCCCTCCCTTCTCCCTCTCTAGAAATGAATAAATAGAATCTTTAAAAAAAAAAAAAAAAGCTCAGTTTTCTCTCTTGTCCTGTTCCTGGTGCTTTGAGGGATCAGGCACCAGCTAGGCACCGTGTCTTGGCCATGATGCTGTGGCCTGGGTGCGAGGGTAAGGCTCTATGACCCCAATGTTGTGGTTCTTTTTGCCTGCAAATCATTTATTCTCTCATGAAATATTTATTGGACATCTACTGTGAGCCAGGCATCTACTGAGCACAAAGGGGAGAGTGATAAGCAAGACAGAGGTCCTGCCCCCGAGGGGCTTACAGTCCAATGGAGGGATTCAGACAATAACTGAAAGAACACATATATAAGGTGTTGTCAAATAGTGATAAATGTGACAAAGGAGATAAAACCAGAGCAGGTGCTAATGCGGGAGATGAGGGTGGGTGGAGAGATTGGCTGCTATCAAATGAGAGGTTAGAGAAGGATCCAGTCATGAGGAAAACAATCAAGATGAAAGGGAATAGCTGGTGCAAAGGCCCTGGAGTAAGAGCAGGAGTGGACTATTCCAGAACAAAGAGGCAACCAGTGTGACTGAGACATTGTGTATGGGCCAGGGAGGGTGGGGCTGATAGTGGGGTCAGTGATATGAGATAAGTTTATTTTCTCACATGCATAAGAATATTCAATAGCTGACAATTACTGATGTTATATTTGAAAATATACTTAAAGAATGACTTCTCAAAAAACAATAAGCACATTTCCAAAAATTACTAATCTTCCAATAATTATAAGTGCCTTATGTAATTTTTGTTTTACCCCAGACTTCAGCTACAATGCACCTTTCTTATTTATTCCACATGATTTCTTAGAGTTGATTTTTTTCCCTAAGGTTGGTGCAACCTTCAGGGCCGGAAGGCCAGCTGGTCAGGAGGACCCTGGGCTCCTCTGGGCTGTGTGTGTGGATGCTGCAGTTTAAGGAGGCATCTTTCACAGCCTCATATAGAAGTTATTACCTGCAGTGTTGACTGGCTCTCTCTTTCAGAAACCTTTTGTTCCTGACACAAGGCAAAAACAGGAAAAGAGATCTGTGTGAAAGAATACTCTCCCTTTTCCTTTTGCGTGTATCTTAAGAGACCGCCTCAGAGGTTCCCGGAGCTGTTGGTCTTTTCATGTAAATGGAGCCCTTAAACCTACTCAGAGGTGTGCGGAAAGCTTGTGGGTGTTGGGGTGAAAGATCCGGAGAATAGCCTCAGCGTCCCATTTAATGAACGCAGGTTCAACTGTGCGCCCTCTTTCTTGTCTATAATTAAAAATACTGCAGAACTGTATTTTGCACTCACAATTTTAATTAAGCACTATGCAATTTACTGTTTACACATATTACTGTGCAGCGTTATAACTATATATTTTGTACTGGGAGGTTGAAGGGATTTTCCAGGGTAATTTTGACTATGTAAATTTTGCCTTACACACTGACTCTAGACTGCAATCCCTGCGTAAAACATAACTCTCTGTGTCAAATACAGTATTTTAAAATCCCTGCTTCTTCTGAAATAAAGGGGCTCATATTCACCCATCACCCCCAAACCCATAACAGGCATAGGATTGGTATTGGGCCTTGTGAGTAGAAAAGGGAGAAAGCAGAAGGAACTTGGGAGATTCCAACAGAAAAGAGAGAAGAGCCGGGAAATCTGAGGCAGGAGATGGTGGGTCAGGGATTCCAAGGTCAGGAGAAGGGGACTGAGGGACAGTTCCTGGAGGATACTGTTTCCTCCAGTGAGTGGCGAGCTCGTACCAGCCAAGGAGGCACCCCTGCTTCCTCCTTGCTGCTTTGCTGCTCTCCCCTAGAACCCCTTCACTTTGTAACGATGCTACTTGTTCCTTGTTCCCGGTGAATGTCGCCATGTGTATATTTGTGACGTTGTATACGGAGTAGGAGGAAAAACCAACAGTGCGGGAAAGAAGGGACAGGGAGGAATGAGGGATTATAGTCCAAGGTTTTAAGAGCAAGTTCTGCCTTTATTGCTCTGACTGAGGCGGTATGAGATGGGGGACCTGAGGTCGTGGGGGCCAGAGGAAGCAGGTCAAAATCATGTGAACCTTGCGGCAAGAGTCCCAAATTGCCTTTAGTCCGTTCCTTATTCCCTTCCCACCCCGCCCTCCACCCCCAAGGCAGTCTGTTTAATCAGATGCAGAAGACATTTGGATTTGGTAGTGAAGAAAGATAAACAACCTATCCCAACACACCATTTTAACTTTTTACTAAGTGCAGCTGAAATATATATATTCATGGCCCCCTGCTGTGGGACTTTTGCCTGCCCCTCACCCAACTCCTTTAGGGGGTGGATAGAATTCAGAGTTGTATCCGCCTGGGTTGGAATCATCCCCTGGAATCTCGGCCATTGGTTTTCAGCAAGTCTCTGAGCCTCAGTTTTCTCATGTGCTTGGAGGGGAGGGCGCTTACCTGGCTGCTGCCCCGTGGGAGTGAAAGTAACCAGACACCTGCAAGCACTCTCCCGTGACCTCTGCAGACGGGTCGCTGCACAAACCGCCCCAGCAAGGGAGCTTGAACACAAAAACTCTAATGCAGAATGCACCATTTTAGTCGACTCTTTCTTGCAAGTGATAAAAACCCAAATCCAACCAGCTTGTGCAAAAAGCAGAATTTCTTGTTTCATCGAAACCGGAAGACGGAAGGAGTGAAAGGGAGCCGAGGACGCCCTGGCCACACAGAAGGGGTGGGAGGCAGGGACTCACAGGCAGACACGGTTTCAGCCAAAGTCTAAATAAGGGTTTGGGGCTTCCATCTTATTTTATAATAATATTAATTAAGAATACTTTATTCTGACTTTACATTTTAGATTTATTTAATATTGGTAACACATACAGTAAAGATTAGCACACTCCACGATGTCTTTTATTTTTATGACATTAGTTCTCGTTTGAACACATAAAACTACATTTTACTTTAAGCAGAAAAGAATATGTCGTGCTTTCAATTCAGAAACCTGAGTCAAATCTGCAGCCCCTGACGGAGGAAAGCTGTAAGGCCTACGTTCTTTCATAACGGGCCCAGCCCTCCCCCTCATCTGACATTTTCTTGTGGAAAACATCTGGTTCAAATGAGCACTAATGACAGCCTTGATCATCAGAAACCAGAATGCAAAAACCATAAACAATGTATAGTAGGCAAAAGGGATGCCAAAAAGCAATGTGCAAAGAAAAGCCAGCAGTAAATGTATTTAATATGTAAATTTCACCTTCTAACTGCCTTATATTTCTCTTCTGGGAAAGCCCGGGCTCCCAAAACACAGCGTGGGTGATTGTTCCACTCTGGCAAACCCTTGAGATGGCTCTGCAGGCACACCTCTGACCAAGGAAGAGCGAGTGTGCTCTCCCCAACCTCTCCGTCTGCATTCACTGAAAACGGTGAATAGAGCTCTAGGGACTGGGGCATGTTGCTAGAATAGGGGTGAGTGAGGGCTGCATTTAGGCAAAACTGTGGCTCCTAAATTAGCAGGACTATTTTGACTAGCTGTCTTCTCCTGCTAATCAGGGTTAGGGATGTCATCCTGGTTAACATGCCTAGTCCATTGGGACCAACCTAAAGGAAATCTGAATGCCTAAAGAAGTTCCTAGTTTTCTAGGCTTTCTGGGACTGGGGATGCCTTACAGGCAGGGATGGAACCAGACCCCTGGCCAGTTATCAGAGTTGAGAAGCTTAGTGATAAGATTTACCAGAGTGGGAAAGAAGGGAAAGTTTTCTGAGCAGCTAGTGTTTTGGATGACCAGGGGGGTTGTGAGAAGAATTTGAGTGAGGCAGTGAGAGATACTGTGGAGTCTCAGGGACCCTACCAACTTGTGGGAAATGCTAGAAGTGCGGGAGACATCTCACAAGACATTTGACTTTTGACAGACCAGGAAAGAGAGGAGAGGGAAAGTAGGTACAAGTTGGTTATCGTGGAGCCTTAAGACAGCTATGGGGGCAGGAGTTGCGGCAGGGACTAGTTCAATCAGGGAAGGGGATTGTTGTAGAGGTCGCAGAATGTCGAATAAGATTCAGAAGATTTCAGGATCCAAGGAAAGTAGATGGCATGAAGTGAGAGTGAGGGCTTAGCCTTCTGTATTCACCCCCTTTGCCACGTCTCATCTGCCTCATCTGGGGGTCACCTGCCTCGGATTGAAGGTGTGTGTATGGAGGCTGCATCGGACAGTGGGGGAGCATGGGATATGGAGTCAGTCCGAAGGCCTTGTCTCCTGGAACCATACCTCTGCAGTAAACATGTAATACTTGCCACTGGGTTCAGTGTGAAATGAATGGGATGATAATCTAGGTCAAGTGGATTGGATGGAATACTGGCCAAGTTGGCCCGATGTCTTTAGGATGAATGGGAGAGTCTTTGGTTCCAGGTTCCTATCCTGTATCCAGTTCATCTTACTGATAGGGCTTCTTCTTACCCTGATATCTGAAGTGAGTAGACCCTTATGAACCAGAGACCTATGGTAACTTTTATCAGTGGTTAAAGTAGAATTCTTAAACTGGATTTGGAGGTAGGATTGTCATGGCAGAGTTACTGTGCCTTTGGGAGAGTGATCTGGCCTTAGTAAAGTTTGGTCTCTTAAATTTTATCACTCATTCATGGCTAAGAATACCACAAACAAGTGTTAGGTGCTATAGTGTTCAGCAACCATTTCCTTGGGATCTCCTCTATGTCAGGTCCCGTGCCATGGCACAGAGGTGAATGAGATGTGGTCCTTGCTTTTAAGGTGCTCCCAGACAGATGGGACAGACTGGTTTGAAAATAACCGTACAGTCAGTGTGAGATAGTAAGTGCTAGTCAATTGGTATGAATCAGGTGGCACAGAGGAAGAAAATGATTCGCTCTAGAAGGTCAGTGAAGGACTCCTAGAGAAGAAGGTGGGATGGCCAGTGTTTTAAGGGATGGTTATTATTATGCTCAGCAAAATATGGATTATAAATAGAGTGATGTTGGAAATGCACTGTAAATGAAATATACAGTGCTACCAGATTGGATAAAGTGTATGTATTGGATTAATATGTGGTAGATGGGTGATGTTCTTTATTTCTCTTCCTTCTCACGAGGAAGTTTTTGTCTATCAAAGTGATTAGTGTTTGCCCTATTGGAAATAAGCTGTAGACACTTCCTTCTCTGGAATGGGATGGCTTTTTGATTTAAGCGCAGTTATCAGAGGCGATGTGGTATAAATGAGTAGAGGACAGGGTATGGGACCAAATTAGGACTGCGCCACTTAGGAACTGAGGGTATTTGACGAATTACATACATTCCTGGTGATTCTGATATCTCTATGAAATAGGATCAACAGTGGTACCAACCTCACCAGGTTGTTGCCTCAAGTGCACTAATAAATGTCAATGCACTTTAGAAAGCAGTGTGAAAATATGTAAATGTTATTGTTTTATCAAAAACATCAGCAAACCATTTATTTGTGGAGTTCCGTGTATTATACAGAGCTACAGAGATATAGGGTCTGTCTTTTAGGAAAACAGAATCAGAGTTCTGAATCAGCTCCCAAACAGGAAGCCAAAGCCTGGAGTGCTAAGTGCGCTTGCCCCGAAGAGTGGTAGTCTTGCGCGGGAATCTCGGTGCGTTGCCCCAGTGACCTGGCCTGTTCCTCAGCTGGGCGAAAAGCCACTTGAAAAGGGGAAGAGTACTGTGCTCTCAGGAAAGACGTTGCTTTTTTTTTTGCCCTAGAAGTTTTTACTCTTTGGGTTTGGAGCTCCGAATGCAAGTGGTCCAGTTAATTCAGATCTCGAGAGTAGAGCTAGTAAAAGGAAAACTGTGAGAACCACAAATATTAGAAACATACCTTAATTTAGGCAACAAAGGTAAAGCAAATACATATGGCAGTATATGAAAAAAAAAAGTCCCCTATGCAAACCCGGAAACATAATTTAATGCCATAGCATTTAATATCAAAGACATGATAACAGAGAGAACATGTTTACCACTAATTATTTGAATAAAATAATTAGTCTTCTGGACAAAGGCAGTACAAAGAGAATAAGGAAGATTAATAGTTTGTTTACAGAAAGAAAAATTGGGAGATTACATTAACGTCAAATTTTGAAAAGTTTAATTAACATACCAAACACTGTATAGCTTGATGAGTTTTGGCAAATGTGTCCACTTACCAACCACATTTTCATCACCCCCGAAAGTTCCCTTGCAGTCAACACCCCCTCCCCTGGCCTCTGGCAAACACTGATCTGCCTTCCGATACTATAGTTTAACTAAAGTTTAATTTTAATTTATATTTTGCTGGTTAACAGAAGTGATGATAGTTGGACACCATCAAAATTTAGGGTTAGAGTCTTTCCTCCTTTAGGAAGTACTGTTCCAGTAACTTCTCTGAACCTAAGTTTTATCATATTAATGAAGATAATAACAACTTTTCTGTACACTTCAGAAGGTTGCTATGAAAAGTCCAAAAAGATAGTAGGTGAGAATGAGGTAGTTAGGATTTGATGGATCATTTAGCAAATGTTAATATTAATGAAAAGTATGGCCCTTCTACATGGGAGCCATTTCTGTACCCGAGCTCCGACGGTGCCTGTGCAGATTCCCGAGGAAGAGCTCCCGGGTTAGAGGGGGGCCTCTGAGAAGTGGTTGGCTCATGGGCCCAGAATTCAGTCTTCTGTCTCTCTAGCTAACAATAGAGGATTACAGTCTATTCAGCTGAAGTGTCTGGGTTAACATCAGATTCATCCTATGTATCACTTTAGGTATGAATATTATATAAATATGTTCTCAGTGGCAGCTGTTTTCCTAATGCCTTTTCATAATAAATTACGCAGTTTATTTCATGCCTAAGCTCCCACTGCCCTGATTCTGAGGCGTGCCAGTTACTGAGATGAAAAATCGCACTGTATAAAATGAACCATTCTGAATGCCGAATTCTGTGGTGTTTAGTATACTCTCACTGTTGAAGTTCCCATTTTACACAGATAAAACTGAACTTTTGGGGTGTCAAGTAATGTCAGAGTCTTTCGTGTACTTATAGGGATGTCAAACTCATTTTCACCGGAGGCCCCATCAGCCTCACGGTTGCCTTCAAAGGGCAGAATGTAACTTTAGGACTGTATGAATGTAACTACTCCTTAGCTGTTAAGCGAGAGCTCAGCACTGCCACCAGGTAGAAACAAGGTGCCAGGCCGGATAAAACAAGGTGGGGCCTTGTGTTTGACACCTGTTACATATATTAGCTGCTGTTATAAATTGCCATTCTTTCAAACAAGCAATCTAAATGCCATTTTTGTTGAAAATTGTCTAGTGGAGAGTAGAGACTAACATGTAGAAAAGCCCCTCTGATCGAGGTCTGGCATTGTCCAGGCCACGGGGAGAGAACCGATGTTCCCGCTAGCCAGAGACACCAGACCGACGTCATCTTCCCACTCTGGGCACCAGCACTGCGATACTCCGTGGACACACCTGATGTCTTCAGGTCTTGCTCGTTTTTCTTGAATGAGCTGTTAGAATGCATGAGTGTGTGTGCAACACATCATGCTGCTATTTGCCTCATGTGCGTATACATCATGTGTGGGTTGTGCATTTTC